TTTTCGCTAAATTTAATTTTGTATGAACCTTGTTAAATAGCAATTATGCATAAACGTTCCAGAACGAATTTAAGTGTATTATTTTATAAATATATCTAAAATAAATATGTAAAATAATAAATAACAATGAGGAACATACAAAAACAACAAAAATTTGAAAATGTATTACAAAAAAAATAGAACGTGATCTTTTGAGCTTTGAACCTATGCCAATTTGCTGATATGGTTCCAAAAGTTATCAAAAACTTATATTATAAACATTCAATTTTCATCATCGTATTCTATGATCTCGAAGTCCGGAACTCCACCAAACCCATCAACATCATCAGTGCTTCTTCAGAACAGAAGGCAATCCACTTCCTGTGCACCTCTTCCTACCTCTCCTTCTACCAATACATAACAATGCCCAGTATCATTAGATGCACTATGGATACCACTATTGTAGAACTAAGTAAAAAAGTTAAACCTCTTCAAGTTTACAAAATGACAAAGACTGATTTTATAGTACAACTAAACTGGAAAAGAAGATTATCAATAGGAAGAAGTTTACAGACTCATCTAAAGTTAGTTGGCTACATACAAAAGAAATTAAGTTGGATAAAGATATAATTTTTTCTATTTTTATGCGGTCTACGATGGAAGACGATTTCAATGAGTTGAAAATTGATAAAAGAATAAAACGAGAACTACAATACATAAAAGAATCTGATTTTTGCTTATTGTGGCCTAACGACAAACCGATTGCTCCAGCGAAATTAGTGGACTTACAATCCATGTACCACTACATACCCGAGGATTGCCTTCAATTTTATAGAACGCTTCAAAGTTCTGAAGAAGCACTGATGATGTTGATGGGTTTGGTGGAGTTCCGGACTTCGAGATCATAGAATACGATGATGAAAATTGAATGTTTATAATATAAGTTTTTGATAACTTTTGGAACCATATCAGCAAATTTTTGGCATAGGTTCTAAACTCAAAAGATCACGTTCTATTTTTTTGTAATACATTTTCAAATATTTTTTTTGTTGTTTTTGTATGTTCCTCATTGTTATTTATTATTTTACATATTTCTTTTTGGTTTATTTTTATAAAATAATACACTTAAATTCGTTTTGGAAAGTTTATGCATAATTGCTATTTAACAAGGTTCATACAAAATTAATTTAGCAAAAACATTTCAAACTCGTTTTACCTATTTATATGCCCCTTGTATTATGTATTTACAAAAAATATGCATATCATTCAATAATCAGTTTGGCATTCCATAGTTAAACCAATAGTATTTGCCTGAAATAATTACAGGGAAAAAGTGTGTAAATTGCGTTTATCTCAAATTGGGGTTGCTGTGGGTTGGATCATTTTCTCGTTACTACGTCCAAATATACCATAGTTATTTATTTTGGTAAAAAATATCTTATTCTCTAGAACATACTTAATAGCAAAAATGGATCAAGTATATGTGGATTGTTTATAGCAAAAAATTAGAAAATAATATATTATAATAAAAGGTTTCAATTTATTTAGAACAGTGTTCGCAGCTTAAAAAAACAGTATGGATTAATCTAAAAGGTTTCAAATTACATGGAACATTTTTGCAGAAATAAAAAATGTATAAAGATTTTGCAAAAACGTTCCAACCCACATGGATCATTTAAGAAACCATTAAATGTGCGTTTTATGAATTTAGTATAATGTTCCAAGACAAGTGGAACATTATAACGATATGTTATTCTATTAAGAGTTTTTAACAATATGTTTCAGTATGCATGTAATGTTTTTACTTTATTTTGAGTACACGTCCTTGGCATAATGGTGGGTTGGAACATTTGGGTTAAACTTTATTGATGAAACTAACCTAAAAATACTAGCATCTTTGTGTGCACATGATGTAATATGTCAAAAATAGTACCCTGGTTATGGTAACTCATTTTCGAGTGACTTGTGGGTTGGAACGTTTTCGCGTAACTACGTCCATATAATGTAGTACCCTATTCGGTACAATCTTTCGGAAGTTTCCATCCATTTTTATATAAATAGAAAAATTAAATGGATTATTGAAATGGGTGTTGCGTCGCGTAGGCTCGCGAGTGCGGGCGCGGACTCGACAGACAGGCAATGGCGATGGCAATAGTAGGTACCTAGTTAGTGGTTCCGGATACGTATCGGACGTGTCGGATGTCGGCGTGAGTCACGCGGCGCCCACGCCGGCCGCGGCGCGCCCACTGGCGCCCGGGCCCCGGCCCGAGTGAGCACCCACCCGGCAATTTCTATTGCATTTAGGCAACCCAATAAATATTGCAATGCATGACCTATACCAAATTATTCGTTATAAATTATAATATTCATAGATGTCTTCTTCACAATTCACATCGAATTTTTTGTTATATTTTGTAAATTCGACAACAGTCTCTCCTTTCCATTTTCCATCCCTCAAAAACACATAATAAGATTGATAAGGTCATACTGCTGTCAAAATGACAAGTAGGAAACACGAGTGCCATCCGAAGTGCCAGCATATAAAGAAAAACCATTTTATTTAGGTTCAAATACCTCGAGTAGTAAGTAGTAGTACTACTACTTACCTTTCTGGAAAACCGATTGCGCGAAAACTGTTACTTTTTTAACAATTGATTTTAAATTTGTCGATCGCAATCTCCGATAGGTGGGCACGCTATACTTACACCAGCATCATGGACTGTTACTGAGACGGATTTAGAGTCCGTCCGTCTGCGGCGCGTCTAGGCTATTTGTATTTGGGTTTTGGCATTGGACATTTCGCAGTCTCGTGGGAAACTGAGTTGAACGACTGCCTGCGGAGACAATACGGTTGTGTACTATCGCGAACAGTCGTTCACCGAGCCGGAGTGCCGCCCACCCGCGCGCTGCTACTGGCTCAACTTGGCTCTATTGGAGCCACCTCTAAACTTCTTACGCCACTTATGCTAATAGCACTGTGCCATACTTGGGCTCTGTTGTCTGTGTAAGTCATAAAGTTCAAAAATTCTGCTATAAGTACAGCTGGTACATTCTACGAGGAAAATTACCTGTCAAATTTGTATTAAGTAATTGAAAATTTCCGTAGATTCTGTATTACTTTTTTTGATATTAGGAAAATAACATATACAAAATTAGGTATTCTCTAACTAAACACCAAGACAACTGTATGACTAGTACTTGCATTGCATCTCCTTCACCCTACACCCAAATAACACCATTCATTAATGTTGCATTCCTGCAGTCAGTAAATTATTGAGGAAAGTACTCTGATATAGCAACATATCAGATTATATTGTCGAGGGCGAGGTGTCTCAATGGCAGTGTGAAGAATAACGCAACTGATGTACTCTGGGAACCTATAGCATGCTTCAATGAGCTTTGGTCCATCGTACTTGTTTGCCAGCCTTTTTACATAAAAAATGTTTATTTTGCCGTGGCCTCTTTTGTCTCAAGGGCAGTGTGAGGGGGGTTGGTCGATAGCCTGCTGGACGCGAGCCAGCCGCTGGCCGCCGCCGCCGCGACGTCCGCCGTCGAACGGATGCGACGCGCCGCGACTCGATGTACTCGAAAGCGCGACACATAAATCCACCCTCACATCGCTCCATTGACAGTTTATCATCCTATTAATACAGAACACGCTGGAAATAAAAATATTGGTGTGGGTTCATTACAATATTACGACTTATGAATGGGGACATCAAAATTCAACAACCTAATCGTTCAGTACTAGTAAGTCACTAGTCAGCTACCAAACTACTTACTTATTGTGCAGTACAGACCAAAACATTCATACTTGGAATAGTGTCAAGACAAAGTCGAGGAAGTACTACTGTCTGTATCTATAAAAGAAGTGCTACAGTAACAAAATAAATATTTTCCAACGATTAAACTTCTGCATCGTTCTTCTGTGCTATTTATTTAATTTTTGAGCTTTGATTACACAGTTTAAGCAATATTTGTAGACAATAATTTATGCCAGGATTTTTTAAAGGATTAGTATGCGTGCAAACATAAAAATAAGTTTAAACAAAATCATATTTGTACCAGGAAAAAAACTCTTTAGGGAGTTCACCAACTGTAACTACACAGCGTAAAAGGGGGAGACTTACTTGACTAAAGATTTAAAAACCGTGTGCCGTTAAAATGTATTGGATAATTAAGCGCATGCAATATGCACATTATGGATCATCTAGATAACAGACAGAAAGAGTACAACCGTGATTGTACCGTCTGATTTGACCGATAAATTAACTTATTAACACGAAAAATAATGAACTAAGCCTTACACTACCGCTCCCACAAAGGGACTGGTAATATTAAAAACTATAAAAAAATTGGACTGTTTGGTATAATATAAATTAATTTTAACATTTAATAGATAACAAGACTCGACATTGACAAAAATTAAGAGGGGTATAATGGATTGTCCGTTTGAATTGGAGCGCCCACCTTGGGAAACAACCTACCAGACCTTACAGAAAACCGCAGTAAAATAACACACAGCAGCCACATCTGCACTTTCCACTTACACTTATAGGTGGGGTTGAAATGGTTTAATCTGCTGCGCCTCGTATAAAAAATACATATTGTAATGAATTTTATATTTTTCCAATAAGTTGGGTATAGCGGGGAGTTGTTTTACTTTGTAGGTACCCATCATCGTGCGCTGTCGGACGGCTGACGAAGCCATCCACTTGGCACGAAGTGTGTTAAGTCCAGTTAGTTAATCACGCAACTTAGCAAAGGGAGAAGTCTAGTTTGGGCCCAAACCGGGTCGCTGGTCGAATGCAGCATGCGATACAGTACAAAACGTTCATGTTTACATGAAATTGTTTCCCACATCAGCGATAAAACGGGGATGTGATGAGTGCATAGTTGCCAGTTCTGTAGCATTTTCTCGAGATACACTCATGTCATTCACCTCAACCCACGAATGTTCAATAAGCCCTTTACTTGAATCTAGATTGATTAGATTGATAACAAAATGTTCCTTGTTTCAGATGAGTGGCAAGCGCACTCGAAGTTATAGATGCGCGGTGCACCAGCGAGACCGCGAGGTCAGTTCCGAGAACGACTTCCATCTACTCCTCGAAGATCCTACTCTATTTGCCAGGTAGCTAACTTTTTAAATACTTTTTAACATTATTAATTGACGTTGTTAAAACAAAAAATATTACAGAATCGAAGTTGCGTGAATCTAGCCATCTTCGCATTTGTGGGTACTATTTAAAAATTATTTACTTCTGGGATAAATGTGATTTGAACCGACTATCTGCTACTTATCTCTATCCAATAAATCTTAACTACCCTCTAGAGGGTAGTAGTAAAATTACAATATTAAAATTATTATTCTTGTTTTTAAAGCACTTTTTGGAGTGGTAAAAAGCCTAGAACGAAAATATAACTACCTACATTAATACATACTTGATTATATTAGGTGAATTGTGTCATCTACATAGAATCCATAATCTAATATTGATGTCTCTTCTCCGTATCTAAATTCTCGATTGCCATGGCGTTTGTTTAGCTGTCAAATTTTAGTATTTCTGGATTAGGTGCAAAAATTTTTGTAAAATGATTTAATTAACAAAATAAAAAAAGTATCATGATATTTTCTAAATTTAAGTATTATACTTTTCAATCCTGCTTATTAATTATTTTCATCAATAGTAATTCGTACAAAATCGATCAATGAGGCGCTAAAAATATTTTATATGTTCACTGGTGTCACAATGACATGTGGTGTGCGTTGCTTGCTACAATAAAATTGCGTTAATAAATTGCTTTTTACGGACCAAGAAGAATATTGTGAAAGTAAGTCAATGATTGATTGCCGACAGTTTTCTTATTACACACGCGTCTGTTACATTTTCTCAACTTCTAACTTATTTATCTATATTTTATATTATTGCAGTATACCTGGCCATTCTTGATTCCTTATTAAAACTTTATTTAACTTAAACAAATCCATTGCCTTTTCCACAACGTCCAGAAGAGAATCTACTAGTATTAACAAGTGTTATGTCGTCAATTTTTATAATAAGTAGAAACCTATGTTGAGTGCTAAATAAATGTATGATCTTTTGAGTTCAGTTTAATAATGTCGATACCGTTTCATAGTATGCCTACCTATTTGCATTAACATATTGTATGACTTTGCTGAAAACTACTATTACTTGTCTCACAGGATGGTGCACTTAGTAGCAATGGAGATGCTTCCAGAGGAGCGGGACCGCAAGTATTACCAGGAGAGGTATACATGCTGCCCACCGCCCTTCTTCATAATTTGCGTCACACTGCTGGAGGTAATATTCTAAAACTGCACCTTTCTTGTATAGAAAATCGACAACAAATTGTAAATCATTATTCTGATACGTTCTTGAGATAACACCCGTGGGCTAGGGAAATAATATACAAGCAAAGTGTCAACGTGAAGGTGGATATGCAGTATCTACAACACATATACTTACCTGCTACAGAGAGAGATATTCAAAAGGTCATCCATAGAAAAAAAAACTAACCACGTGCTAACATTTACATTCATTTTAATGTCCTGTTTCACTATCGTTCGTAATTTAAACGGTATTGTTATGATAAAACAATATAACGAATAAATGACGCGTAGTGAATGCGATTGCTTAAAATGGTGCATCACTTTCTATTGCACGCATTTGTAGACCGCTACTTCAGCGCCGCTCTAGTTAGCTCGGTTAATTAAAATTTGTAATAGCGGATTTCACATCCGCGCAAACGGTTTACGTGAATCATAATAACATAACAATCGGTACGCGCGTGGCTCGCGCCTTTATGCCTCTACGCCTCTACCGCCGGCCGTTCTTCACACGTTGATTCAATGCACGGTGCGATATGTGCGTACGTTACTTACGATCGGCCCTCTTTCCGCTAACAGTTTTCCCTTTATAAACAGGACATAAATATTCATACAGATTATTAGTGCAAAGTCGTTTAGGAACTTCCTTAAAATTTGCCGATGAATCATTGAAGTTTGGACTAATATGGATGAGACATTTTATTGAGTTGTTAGCAGACTAACTTGATGGCACATCAATCTTTTGCTACGAAAGCTGGCACAGCAGTTCTAAGGTCAGCATTCAAAATGGATATATGACTTTAATTAATCTGTAAATGGGCAGCTATAGCAGCATCAATAGGATCCCTGGATCTATGTACAAAAATGGAAATCAAACTCTCATGTGTTAGTATTTCTCACTAGACGCTTAGGCCCGTATTAATAGATCGCTCTCTGAGACTACGATCTTAAGATACTGTTTTCATGCGAAACAGCATCACAAGATCGTACTCAAGATCGCTCTCAGAGTTGAGAGCTATCTATTAATACGGGCCTTAGTCTCTAGGGTCAGCAGATACAGCTGAGACGGCTTAACGTGGCTTTCGAAGCAAAGACGAGCTCAAGATAATAAATTTTTAATTACATTATTTAGTCGTAGATTCATTCTTTTGCTATAATATTCATCATACTGCAATGCAGTGCAACTGTTTGACGACCTCCGAGATGACAATAGTATGTACTATACGCCGGTTTTCAAGGTGTCGAAGGTTCAAATCCTGGTGAGGCAAATGTTTGTGTGATGAAAACGAGCATTTAAACCTAATTACCTAAGTTACAGCTGTTTACCTATTTTTATGTATCATTATACCTATGTACTCCTTTCTATCCGTTAACCTACTACCCCTAACACAAGCCTTATTTATGCACTTCACTTTGCTATTCGTGTTTGCTATTTGCAAATTTGAAGTCAGTGTGTCCTTTTATTCCTTATAAAGCATGATAAGGACGGACTGTTGTTATGTTTACAAATAGCAAATAGTCAAGTGAAGTGCCGGCATCACCATTATTCCCAATCGCCCCCGAGGGGTTGCCTCCTTTTATTCCCATTTGCCTCTGGTGGCCATCCCCGTGGAGGCGACTGGGAATAAAGGCGGCATTAGTGCTTACTTGGGACAAGCTTGCTTATGTGTTTAAAATATTTGTTTGAAATCGAGCTATTTGTTATAGCTGGGCGTATTCGCGTGGTACGCGTGGGGCTCCGGCGGCATGGCGGCAGCCGCGGGCCCTGTGCCCGTGGACTCGCCCCTGGTGTACCGGCCTGACAGGCGGCGGGAGCTGTGGCGCTTCCTCACCTACAGTGTAGTGCACGCGGGGTGGCTACACTTGGCATTCAACCTCCTCGTCCAATTAGCCGTAAGTACTTATTTTCAACAGAAAGTATTTTGAAGATGCGTATCAATTTTTTTTATGTTGTATTATTATATTGTAAGACGAATAAATGTACAAAAACGGAAGGCATTCATAAATTTAGTACAGAGTCGGCAAAAAATTCATAGATGAAATTTAAGATTTCATTTATATTTATGCTAAGTAAGAAGCAAGTAAGAACTTGCCAATCTTTTTTCTTTTCCCAAAGGAAAATCTAAATTACCTAGCTATTTGAATCTTAGTAAAATATCAATTGACTTCTAACTAAGTATATTGTGTATTGTATGTATTCATCTGGCTGTACTTTATTAATAAGTGGATAATGTTTTTGTCGCACAGGTGGGGTTGCCTTTAGAAATGGTGCACGGCGCGGTGAGATGCGCAGCTGTTTACCTAGCGGGCGTACTGGGCGGTTCCTTGGCCGCGTCCGTGCTGGACCCGGACGTGTGTCTTGCGGGCGCGTCGGGCGGAGTATACGCGCTGCTGGCGGCGCATCTCGCCAATGCGCTGCTGAACTTCCACGCGATGCGATACGGCGCCGTGAGACTGGTCGCCGCGCTCGCGGTCGCCTCCTGCGACGTCGGCTTCGCGGTCCACGCCAGATATACTAAGGTAAGGATACCTGATGAATGAATCGAGATATTGTGCTATGCCAACGCGCTGCTCAACTTCCACGCGATGCTGTACGACGCCGAGAGACTGGTCGCTGCGCTCACGGTCACCTCCTGCGACGTCGACTTCGCGGTCCACGTTAGATATACTAAGGTAAGGATACCTGATGAATGAATCGAGATATTGTGCTATGCCAACGCGCTGCTCAACTTCCACGCGATGCGATACGGCGCCGTGAGACCGGTCGCCGCGGTCCACGCCATATATACTAAGGTAAGGATACCTGATGAATGAATCGAGATATTGTGCTATGCCAACGCGCTGCTCAACTTCCACACGATGCGATACGGCGCCGTGAGACTGGTCGCCGCGCTCGCGGTCGCCTCCTGCGACGTCGGCTTCGCGGTCCACGCCAGATATACTAAGGTAAGGATACCTGATGAATGAATCGAGATATTGTGCTATGCCAACGCGCTGCTCAACTTCCACGCGATGCTGTACGACGCCGAGAGACTGGTCGCTGCGCTCACGGTCACCTCCTGCGACGTCGACTTCGCGGTCCACGTTAGATACACTAAGGTAAGGCTTCCTAAAGAATGAATCGAGATATTGTGCTACGCCAACGCGCTGCTCAACTTCCACGCGATGCTGTACGGCGCCGAGAGACTGGTCGCCGCGCTCGCGGTCGACTTCGCAGTCCACGCCAGATATACTAAAGTAAGGATACCCAAAGAATGAATCGAGATATTGTGCTACGCCAACGCGCTGCTCAACTTCCACGCGATGCTGTACGGCGCCGAGAGACTGGCCGCCGCGCTCGCGGTCGACTTCTCAGTCCACGCCAGATATACTAAAGTAAGGATACCTAAAGAATGAATCGAGATATTATGCTATGCCAACACGCTGCAGAACCGCCATGCGATCGGCGGTTCACACCAAATACACTAAGGAGAGCATAGCTAGTGTTTGGCGGATCGGTGGCGGCGTCGATGCATTTTTCACATAAGCACCCCTATTTTGGGGAAGTACCCTATACCTTTACATTTTATAGATTTGATTTTCGAGCACTTTGGAACATGGCCGCAATCAAAGACGACATATTAATTTCAACTAAATTGTCCTGATATTTTCAAAGCGCACTCACTATAAGTTGCTTGTGTATCGTACGTACATACTCTCGCAGTTCCTTCTAATTCTTTTTAATCCAAATGTTTTCTGGTAGAGATGGCATCTTTTAGCGATAAGGCCGGCCATTGTAACACTAGTATTAGATGGTTTTGTACTTAATATTTAATGTTTTCTGTGGTACAATAAAGTTTTGTATTGTAAAGTTTCTTTCTCTTGTCCCCAGGAGGCGCCACCTGTATCGTATGCCGCGCACGTAGCGGGCGCCCTCGCCGGTCTCACGATAGGGCTGCTCGTACTAAAGCACGCGCAGCAGCGGCTATGGGAACGACTACTCTGGTGGGCGGCTTTAGGCGCTTACGCAGCGTGTACCCTGTTCGCAGTGCTGTACAACGTGTTCAGCGGGCCCGTCGACGAGATGCACTACATGCCCCCCGACCCTCCGCCCGACGTATCCGGCTTCTGATTCGTCAACGCGTCGATTGTAGATTGTTTTTAACGGGAGCGAACGTCCGCCTTCTAAACTCCGTGTGGGCTTCGACTGTCGGTTGCTTTTCTTATCGCGTATGTACATGCCGCCCGACGTCGCTGACTTCTGATTCGTGAACGCGTCGATTGTTTTTAACGCGAGCGAACGTCCACCTTCTTAGCTCCGTGTAGGCTTAGACTGTCGGTTGTTTTTCTAAACGCGCGCGTATGGCCTTTTATATAGCGAGCGGGCCCGTCGACGAGATGCACTACTTGCCGCCCAAGGTTGTCGGCTTCTGATTCGTGCAGTGCGACTCCGTTTAGGCTTCAATTGTTTTCTTATAATAGTCTGCCTTCTTTAAAGCTCCAACCCAATGGACACTTCGATTTTCGACTGTTTTTTAACGCGAGCATATGTCCGCCTTCTTTACTCCGTATAAGATTCGACTGTCAATTGCTTTTTTTTTTTAACGCGAGCGTACGTCTGCCTTATCAATATAGCTAGCGGGCCTATCGATTTGTTGCAATATTTGCTGCCCGACGCGTCCGGCAATTGGTTCGTGCAGAGGAACTCCGTGTAGTCGATGTCATGTTCGATCGACGAGTTGCAATACATGTCGGCCGGCCGATGTTTGAGACTTATGATTCGTAAAACACAACTCCGTATAGGCTTCGACTGACGAATCATTGAAAAGCAATCGTACGTTTTACCTACCTATAGTGATATGGCGATACTTCATTTTTGTGTTGATTTATTGAAATAGCCAATTTTTTATTACATTCTTACCTTCGTTTTGTTTCGCCAAGATCTGGTAGGGTCGAAGCCTAAAATCTCGGAATCGGTACGACCATTCACAACACGCCTAGTCAATTTACCTTAGTGTGATTCGCTGTAAGTAGCATTATTGTTTGAGGAGGTTGCGCAGGTCTACTCAGTACACGACGTGTATTATGTCTATACCGATGAAGATTTAAGAATCTTTGTGTTTATTTTTTTAACCTCGATATTGTTGTTGATTTTCAGTGTCTGTAGATAATATTGCATGGCCTCCTCGTTATCGTTAAGTAGGATTAATTGTATCGAATAGGTGAACTATTTTTGTACCTATCTGCGTTCGTAGTTGTCTATGTCGATGGCGTTACCATTATCTCGACACAACATTTATAATTTCCGCATGGGCTTAATTCTGGGCTGAATGTCATGTAATCCAAACATATAAATGTTTTATATTAGAATGATTGTTGCTTATATGTGAACCTATTATCGTGGCATTTAGTCCAGTAAGTCATGGTACTGACGCCCAAACACCAAAGATTAGGATAAAATGTGATCCATTACTACTCATATGAACGATAGCCTAATTTCACAGCTCACAATTATATCTCATTTCGATACTAAATAGAATATTTCATATTTTGCTCAGAAGAAAAATACTATAAGTATGTCCTCAATATTGTTTTTTTTGCATGATTTATATATAAGTAATGTTGTGTAAATTGCTCAACTGCTGATTATTTTATTGAATTAATTGATTGTGCTCAAAAGAGATTTTCTTTTATTGAATCAATTTGTAACAACGTATTATTTATTTAGATGATCATTAATTTTTGTAATGTCAATTGGTCCATTCCCATTAGACCACTAATAATTACTTCAGCTTATAGCAAAATAACTCACTAGCATAGATTTGTTGTAATAATAATAATGTGCCTGATTCCTATTATAATAAATTTCATTGTGTACTTTTAATTTTAATCAAATTATTTCATAAAACGACTGATTTTTTGTATAAATTATTGCAGTGTTTTCATTTAATTTATTATATAAAATTATTTTAAGTGTGGAACGAAATAATAATTATGTGATTATATGAATGAAAAATAATGATGAATAATTATTAAAAGCGATTTGAAACAAAAACTGTATTTTATTGCTGTTTAAGTTTCTATTCTAATAATAACTAACATTATTTAAAGACATAAATCTCATTTCATGAGCTGCCAAGTTTAAATAACTTAAATCAATAAGCCAAAATACTAAAATAACAACAGTATTTATCGCATTCAATACTATATCATTTTACATTTATCAGGTACATATCAAAATAACTATATTAAAGAAAATTTTAACTTACTCCGAACTTATTGAATTAAATAAATTTTGATTGGTTCCATTGCAATATTTAGAAGTAGGTACGAAATAAACCTACTGTTGCTTTCACCCACAAAGGAGTCTCCCGCCTCTGTAGTTCGTTACTACATTCTGCAGAGTATTTATGTAGTTTTGAGCATTCTTCATGAAGTCGTTTCTGTAACAAAGGAGTATTGCTGCAGTTTAGAAACTCACATGACTTTCAGTCACGGCTCAGTCAAGATACTAGATGCAGTCACCAATCGCCGTCGCTAGTGGCACTTTCATTAGCCTTTATTTAAATCCAAAGTACACTTTAAGAACTAAAGGGATACATTTTATATCAAACCATTACCTACATATATAGCGGCGTATATCATTCCTTTTCCTATTCCATTCAAAAACTCAAAAACTATTAAAATGATGTTCTTTTAAAGGTGCGGACATAGACTGAAATACTAAAAAAAACGAGCGAGCCTTATAGTAGTCGCGTATGATGTGTAACATTTGAAACCTCACCTTATATTAGTAAAAAAAGAAATAAAACCTACTAAAAAAGGAATAAGCCATTTGAACATTATGTTCTAAAATCAAATCAAGTAGCGCGCGCTATCGCGACTTCCTGTTACATACTTCCGTCCCATTTCAAAAATCACTCCCACAAATTGCAACAAAGCGAGAGGAAAGACGTTACACATCAAAAACGTAAAAAAAATATCAAAACATGCCAAAACGAAAACCGTGTGTGCGCGTGATGCGAGCGACAATACGCGGCTACTTCCGCAACATGTGGCCGAGTTTGCGCCGATACTTACTATACAAAATTTATGAACAAACTCGACCGCAGCTTGTGGTCCTCAATAGTGGCTCGGTTGCGCTTAATTTTAAAATTATTTGACACGGGCCATAACACCGCTGGCGCCCTCTATACTGACCTTGACGTGTGGATAAGCATTGAAATGCTAAAGAGACTTGTATATTTTACTGTGCTAGCTCTTGTAGCTTGCTAGTGCAATTTGTAGACTATTACTAACGACTATTACCTGCAAATCAGGAGACACAGTAAAGATAGCTGCTTGTGCTTCGAGATCTCGGTGCACCGATCTTTCACCTAAATTAGCAGAACCCACAACTGTTGCCCATGGCACATCCATCCCTGGCGGATAGTACCTGAAAATATATATATTAATAAAACATTACAAAATTACGTATTCGCAGAAATTCAATCCTTTTTAGGGTTTCTAAGTCAACAATGAGCCTTTGACGTTTTATTAATGTCCATTCGTCTGAAGCTTAGGTCTAGGAACTGGGAAGTTGTAATATGGGATAGATATGAGTCATGCTGACAATGGTAAAAAAAGGCATGAGAAAATTTTCGTACACACAACACAAATTTTCGTATACACAACACATATACAAAAAATAACATGTACCTACAAAACTCCACAAAAAATAACTTCAAAAATTATACATACAAAGTGATTTTGAATTTAATATGAATAAATTAGTTACCATAAACCTTTTGCATGAAAAGTCCACCCTGGCCTCTCATATTCTAACATTTTCACTCTGCTTGCTTGATTATAACTTAAAACCTTTTCCCAAAATCTGAAATGTTACAAAATATTTAATAGCATGACAATCATTGTATTAATTCACACACCGCGAATTTTGAGTTACCTGACATACTTATAAATTTTATTAACAAAAATAGTGAGAACAGTTATTGTAGTAAATAGTAATAGTGTTAAAAACATCACATGAATTTTGTTTGGTAGAAGAGAGAGATAGAAGACCTCTGCTTAGGTTGGCTCCCTCTTTCTCCTATATCATAGATCGTTTTTCGCTATTTCATGCGGTTTTTTTATATTCTGTGGCTTAACAAGACTTCTAGACTGATTCCTTTGCTTGCCTTTTGGAAGGAACAAAAAGGAAGAAAATTTTAACATCACTTCACAACGTAATTTTTACCTACAAGATGAGAATTTAGTAATCTCAATTATTTACATGTTAAACTTATAAGTTTAACATGTAAATCATTACTAATAATTATTAATGCAGGAGACATAAGTTTGCCGTGGAGATGTCTGTCGGCCTGTTTGTTTAATTTCTTTAAAAAACGCTATAGGTGTTTTTTTTTATACTTTAGAAAATTTTATATTGGACCATGAAATAATCCTTTGTCATACAGACATTCAACTCAATGCATAACAAAGATGCAGTGGGGACAGTAAGCGCATGTTAATGAATATATACCAATAAGGACAAATTGGAGAGGGAAAACTTTTCCATTATATAAAATTCAGTTAAAGATTATAAAAACATGATGGTAATTGGACCTAGCTTCTAAATTCAAGAAAAATCTTTGGCAAATAGTTGAAAATTTCAATATACACATATAAACAACCCAAAGTGAGTTTGGATTTTGCTTCAACCCCCCTTGTCATTAATAGTTCAATACCCTACCGGCGAGTCTATTGAGGTAGGTCTGGCGCCCGAGTACTTTTTTAAATTTTATTTGACATATATTGTTTTCAGTTTAAAACAATTTTTGTATTTCCCACATAAAAACATCTTTTTTAAATGACATTATAAACAGTAAAAATACTAAACTGCTATACAAAAATGTTGTTTTAAATTACGTGGATACTATAAGTATCCTAATTTGTTAGAGATTCATAATTATCATGGAGATGCATCTAAAAAAGTTTTTTTTTCGCAAATCTAATTACCTACATTGTTGTCTGAATTGGTTAATAAATTTTCTCAAGTAACTCAAATTCATGTTAAAAAAAAGGTACAAAATCTTATTCTTAACATTTGATGCAGGTTGAATCTTAATTCAAAAAACTAGATAGCAGAGGTCAGTTGTGTAGCGCAATATAATGTTTAGTTGAGACATCCTAAGCAATGCCACCAATAATATTAAATACATTTTACTGTGAATGTGTAAATAATAGCGAATCCCATAGATAATTAAAATTGCTTTTATGATTTGATGCACACGTCTGTGATATAATGAATCCATCTGTCATCCATTTTGCAGCCTAAGAGTAGAGAAAATAATAAAATATAATAATTTGACAGCATACTTCCTAGCTATAAGTGAGTAGGCATGCGGTATTCCTCCAGCTGGGCCAGAGGCACCCATAAATCCATTGGCCTGAAACCATTTAAAAAATATTTTAAAAGAAAATCAAGCTTAATTTGTTTATTAAATTCATGCAGCTATGATAAACGATAAGAAGATAAACTTGTTTTACTTACATTTGGATGCGCCATTAATAAACTTATGCTTGCCTTACAACCTCTTAACAAGGTACTAGCATATTGTTCTGTCAGATTAAAGTAACCAGTAGCTAGTCTAATATAAGAGCCTCTAGGAGCACAACTCAGTATACCATGTGTAACCTGTTCATCCTGAGTAATATTGAATTCCCCCATTTGTAATAAAGGAAACACCCATGTGTCAGCATCATCTGAAGATGAAAATGTAATATTTCTGTGAAGTAATATCTGCTTAAAATACACTTGCATAGTTTTTTGTTAAAATTAATGCTTTTCAAACCTGAATTGGTTGAAACAGTCATAGATGCAAGCTTAGTATCTTGAATATTTTGCCATCTCTCAATTAATTGAGTGATTCCATTGGTCACATTTTGAACTGTAAATCCTTTTTTATTATTTATCAAGTTATTTTTCTCACATCTCTTACTATATTTACTGATTTCATCTGCAAAATTATAGTAAAAAACATTAATTAAATATACAAGAATATGCTTTAGGTTTGATTTGCCATAATAATAATATATTGAAAAAACTAAAGTTTAAATGATATCTAACTTACAGTCATCATACCTATAACATCACTATAAAAATTTGCTATATCAGCATCTTGAATTTCTATATAGCGGTCCTGACGTTGATGAAAATAATCATTGGAACAATTAGCACCACTCAACAATACTGAGTCATCTGCAATATATAGCTTCATGTGTTGTAAACCAACAATTTCATTGTAACGTGCTGGCAAAACTTTTGACCAAGATCCATGTAATCGTGGTGTTTGAAAAAGTGTGATGTTACACTGATCAGGAACATCATTTACAAAGTCTTGAAGAACAGTTTTTGAATTTATTTCACCGCGTGTACCTCTCTGATAGTCTACAACAACAGTGAACTTCAGATTTTTCTTCATCATAACATTTTCCTTAGTGACAGCTAACAACTTTCTTTCTAACGTCCCTGTGCCTATGTAGAGGCTAGCAATAGATATTCTACGATTAGCATTTTGAAACCTTTCACATAACGTATCATAAAAACTCCTAGGATCATTCATAATATTAATTTTTGAAGCATGAACAGGAAAACATGGAGCTATTCCATACAACCAGTTAAAGTAACGAAATTCTGTTGGTTTGAAGCGTAAACTAAGATTGCTGTTTCTCATCATATTGAGTAAACAATAAGAAATTCTGATAATGTGGAAAGACTAGTATTTTTATAACTTTCCTTCGATAATTCCAAATTATTAGATTTCGCGATCAGCGACACTGACACCAGTGTGACCAGATAAAATTTTACAAAAATACCGAGGCACCTCAAAAAAATACTGAAATATACCGACTTACATAGCACAGATATACCAATAAAAATACTGATTTTCTTAACACGTTTTATTTATTCATACGTACTCACAATAAATGTTAGAGTTATATTTTAACATCCTTTTCGAAGGATTAAAATTTACATAACCTCCTTCATTTCTTCACGCTCTATCTAATAGTGCAAACCGCATTAAAATCGGTCCAGCAGTTGTAAAGTTTTAGGCGAACATACATTCTGCAAGTCTGATTAATACTATGTATTGATTGATAATTGTATATGTAGTATTACAATACTACAACGCCGACAACGGCCGTCTTTCTTGTCATATCAGTAACTTACTCATAGATAACATGTATAAGTATAGGTAAACTGAATCCGGGGAAGTCCCCAATGTTCGCGTTCAGGGGAATTCCGCAAACATTGTCGCAAAGACGATGACGCACTACGGTGTTGCCATAACTTCTACCAAAATATACCCGAAAATACTGACTGCCAGCAATATACCTGAAAATATACTGATGTTCGGAAAAAAGGATGAAATATACTGAAAAAGTATTAAAATACTGAATCTGGTCACACTGACTGACACTGCCATATAAGGATGTAAAAAATAATCGATTCTGAAAAAAAAGATTAAAAATCGTTTTTTTTTAATTAAAAAGCGATTTTAATACGTGCTTTTATTTTTAGGAATAATCAATTAATAATCGTTTTTTTTTATAATAATTCAAGCAATTATTATCGATTTTTCATCTGTAACCCCCCGGCATTAAGTTTGGTTTCCTGGCGCGGAGCCCGGAACGCGAACTACCAATGAATAGACTTGTCCTAATCTAAACTACTTAAATCTCACAACGTTTACTAAGTTTAACTTAAAGAAAAATAATGTTGCCTTAAGAGCCTTTTTACAAAATTGCGCCGCTGCCATACTGATAGGCGCGTAGGTAGATTTGCACTAGTATATATTGCATTTTACGGGTGATGTTTCGAGTCTTATAAAATAAATTTTAATGAACTAATTTTTAAAATATATACATATTTCAGTAGTTCAATGATGGTAGATTAGTTTTTTGAAAGTGTTTGATAGTAATTCTATTTAATTCAATATCAAAATACGAGGTAAACCTGCATTATTTTTTGGGAAAACTCACGGAGGTTAGATGTTTTATTTTATAATTAATGAGATAGAAAATCAAAATTCTTATATATTATGTTACAACAAAAACATGTTCCTGAAATCGTAGTAATTAAATCGATCTCATTTATAGAACATTATTTAGGGATTCAGGCGTTTGAAGTTGTGCGTATTGTCGTCTTTTCCGTAAACTAGCTGCGGTAGAGCGATCAGCACAAAGAAAGGAAAATAGTATTTACTAATATTCTACATTAAATTACAATAGGAAGAACAGGTCTACTGTTTACTTCTATCGGAAATAGTCAAAATCATTTCTAAGGGGGTAAATGAGGCGCTCAAAAATTACGTTTTTTTGCAAAAAATGTGAAAGGGCTCTTAAAAGCTTTTTAAGCTTATTTGATTAATGTGACGTTTCGTTACAAGAAATAGCTTTGCTCTACATCATTTAAGCATTAAAAACTTATAAGCCTTTAAGGCATCATTATGTTTTTTACGTGTTAAGAAATTAACTTTTATTGATGGTTTTCATTGTTTCATATGAAAATTATTTTTTACCAAAATTGCACTCCGCTGTTTTAATTATATTGTCTTTTAAAAAAGTTCAACATTGTAGTATTCCGGTTTCTCGAGATATTGACATTATTTTATATAACCAAACACTATATAAATTTAACTGTAATTTTCATCTATTTACTCTTTCAAAAGTCACTGTTTTTTAATATTTACATTTATTACACCAACATCAATTTAAGTTTTAATTTTGACTATTTACGAAACACAAAAATGAACAAACAATCTACTTTTATTTTTTACGAAAAAAGCATTCCGATTCACGTTGCGGTGCGTTGACTGAGGGAAATAACTAAATAAGTAAAACGTAAATTCATAAACGTAAATTCATTCAACTTATTCATTCGTTTCGTTGTGTTATGTTAAATGCTTGATTTATCCGTGCAAAACGAATTAAGCCTGACTTTAAGAGCTAAAAGTCAAAATATCGATATTCCTGACGGCATTTAGTTTTTATTTATGTCTATAATTTAATTTTGTTGATTAATTTTTCAATTTTTTATTTTTAATTAATAATTCTATTGATATAATATTTTTATTTTGGCGTTTATTTTGAAATTGATTAGCAAATAAGGAAAAAAATCGATTAATATAAAAAAAACACTAAATTTATTAATCGTTTTTTTATGCAAAAAAAACTATTTAATAAAAATCAATATATAATGTACATCCCTACTACCATTTTTTTTTAGTTCTATTCTTCTCTATTGAGAAAGGCAAAGGCATAGCCGTGCAGCCATCGTCTTATTTTTGTATTAATCTTCCTTTTTTTTTAACATTAGAATGTGGGTGTGACTCATTCATGTGTTTGGCACGAAATATATCGAGTTGGCTTTTTCGATAAGCTTCTGTGAGGTAGTCAATACTACAATAAAATTCTCACGTCCACTTGACCGGAATAGCGTATGTTTTAAAGATTCCACTAATTCTTCAGTTGCGCAGACGGTTGTAACACAAAATCACACCAATTTTTTTGACAATATCCACTATGAACAAATTAAAGAATAATTAATATATGACGCCAACCGCAATCGACGAAATCTGAAAACAGATTCTGAAAACAAGCGCGAGAAATAAACAGTGTAGTCTAAGCAGGTTGCCTGCTTTTTCTCGCGCTTTGTTTTCTGAGTCTGAATCTGAGTGCACTCTGGCCGCACCCTAAAGCCGTATACAGAAAGAAAGCCGAAAGCCGATCGGCGCTTATCCTTCCTACATTAAGGAAGCCGATTAAAGCAGATCAAGCAAACTGTCGGACTCATCGGACGATGATTTGGTTTTGTTAGAAAATGTTTATTTAAAAATGCGAAAAACAGCTATATATCCTATAAATAGAGAAAGGAAACGTTTCGGAGAATACCATCATTTATTTGTAAAAAAAAAAATTTTGATGAACAAAGATTTTATACATATACAAGAATGATTCAAGAAATATTTTATTACATTTTGGATTTAGTGAAGAACCGTTTGATGAAAAATTGGGGCAATTGGCATAAACAACCAATCCTTCCAGAAGAAAGACTTGTTGTCACCATTCGGTAAGTACGAAACAAATAATTTTAGCGCTTAGTTAATAAAAGATAAAGTTATTAGATTTATAAAAAGATTATAACTTAGATTGATTTAATCTAAGGATAATAATTCAAATACAAATTATTTATTATTCGGACCAGCGCGTGTCGGCGCTTATCGGCGCCGGTCCATAGAAAAAGGATCAGCGCCAATAGGCGCCGACAAGCGCCGATCGGCGCTGATCGGCTTTCTTTCTGTATACGGCCTAAGGGTGCGGCCAGAGTGCACTCAGATTCAGAGTCAGATTCAGATTCTGAAAACAAGCGCGAGAAATAAACAGTGTAGTCTAAGCAGGTTGCCTGCTTTTTCTCGCGCTTTGTTTTCTGAGTCTGAATCTGAATCTGAATCAGGAGTGATATCTGGCCGTACCCTTCGACTACACTGTTTATTTCTCGCGCTTGTTTTCGAAATCTGAATCTGAATCTAAATCTGAGTGCACTCTGGCCGCACCCTAAGGGTGCGGCCAGAGTGCACTCAGATTCAGATTTCGAAAACAAGCGCGAGAAATAAACAGTGTAGTCGAAGGGTACGGCCAGAGTGCACTCCTGATTCAGATTCAGATCCAGACTCAGAAAACAAAGCGCGAGAAAAAGCAGGCAACCTGCTTAGACTACACTGTTTATTTCTCGCGCTTGTTTTCGAAATCTGAATCTGAGTGCACTCTGGCCGCACCCTTCGGTTATAACTCAGAGTAACAAAGTATATTTCTTTGGTCATAGGGTTATAAACAGGACTGAGTCCGAGTACTGTGACCAATAAAAAGAGATGAGTGAGAGATAGAAAACAGAGGCAAATCTACTTTTGATGCCGCCACTGTTTTACGATGGTTTTTTGTTCTTTTTGCCTTACAAAAAGATTTCTTAATCAAGTACTCATTAATACATAATTTTACTATAAAAATGTCATCATAGTGAATCAGTGGAGTTAGCTTGTGACTAGGGTAAAATGCAAATGATTATTTCCTATGGACTAAAGGGACTAAAGACCGAAGAGAAGCGGCAAATTCGCTTTGTGATTCAGAATATCAATAGAAAAATGAATAAAATTCGTTTACAATAAGAAATCTGTTCTTTATTTAATGTATTGTTAAATGAAATTTATTTTCATAATATACCATAAATTATTAGGTACCTATAAAAACCGTAAAGACTAGCGTAGACCCGCAACTTTTGTTTTATTGAAGGAACCTTATTATTTTGGTATAAAATGTATTTATATTTCAATTTAGGTAATAAACTATGTGGTCTTTCATCCAAATCCGATCGGCTTTTTTGGGTGATTGAAATATTGACATTTATAACATTATAGTAAGAAATACATACAAAAAACTTCTTAGTTGTAATGTTATAATTTTTATTTTTAAGCATGTAATTGCTTGAGGTTTAAATCTAAAGAAAATATAACTAGAAAAAATTACATGCGGACCAGGCAGCAGTCGGGACGCGAACCCGCACCCTTCGCTATCCGGGCGAATGCACTGGCCAATTATGCTACCGCGGCCCTGACGGCCGCGTCGAAAATTCTTCTAGCCATTCTCAAGCTACAAAGCAGCGCCATCTCTTCGCATTATAGGTAACCCACAAAGGTGTCGATTCTGGCACGAGTGTCTAAACTTAAAACTAAATTTAACATCTGTCTCTCTTTTTCACTTTGCATAGAGAATGACAAGGATACACTGTTGTCAAGTTTAAGTTAAGGTTTAGAGAATCATGCCAGAATCGACACTATTGTCCAAAGGAATACTTTTACAAGTATTAAACATTTGAAAGAAGAAATAGCAATTACATTTATCATAACAAAAGAGTAAAGACATGCTTAAAGATGGACAAAGATTGTGTACACGAGGCTGTTCATCTGCGCGAAGCAACTTCAGTCCTCGTAGCATGAGCATCACAATTTACGTTATATCACGTTTTTTATCGCGTCTTACTGTCAAACTCCATAGTGTCAATTGTCTTATACAATTGAGCGTGATAAAAACGAGTTATTATATATCTTATCGCAGTGCTCACGCTAGGGGGGCCGAGTGGACTAGAAGTTTGGCGCTATCGGTAAATAAATACAGTTATTTAATAATAATAATAAGATTTATTTACCAAAAAACCAGTACAATAAGATTTCGTAACAAACTTAACACATTTACAGTAATATTCCACAAAAAATACAAATTGTACAATTTTTTTTTTTATATTTACAGCAAAACGAAGTAAGTTAGGCCACTACATACTATTATTGGTTCTTATTTTCAGAAGAATACATTTCTTTCAGGACTTCATCTTGTTCTATGCCATAGAAAATTGAATTATCTTTTATGTATGCCCAAGACATACGTTTAGAGCTAAAATAAACGCCTACATCACCATTTCTCGAAAGTGTTATAGCACCGGCAGTGTTGTTCAATCGTCGTGTCATACCTAAAATGTTATTAGGATTGAGTAGGTACAAAAGATATTTAAAGTTAGCTCTGTGTAGAAAATATAAAAGATTAGGTAGCTAATAAAAGTAAAGTAACAACATAGTATAAAAATATAGTCTAACTAGTGGCCCGCCCTCGCTTCGCTTCGGTGTAGAGCTGTAGTGTAAACTATACTTTTTGTTCTCAGGCTTGTGCTATAAAGAATGACTTTATTTCTATAATTACACGTGTTATTGTGAGTCAACCATAAAAGATAGACATATGCTGTTGCGGGATATTTTTTAAACAATTTTATCCTTACACGCCTGAATAGCTCGCAGATTGCAGAATTTTTTCAGACTTAAATGACATTTATCGTTATATTTTGGACAATTCACACAATATCTTTATAAATTATAGCCTATGTGTTATTCTGATCTATAAGCTACATTACTGTAAAGTTTCATTAAAATCCGTTTAGTAGTTTTTGCGAGGAAGAGGAACAAACATCCATCCATCCAAACAAACTTTCGCCTTTATAATATTAGTAAGGATAATACAAGAATTAATTTGCCTCCGCAAAAAATTTGACCTTAAATATTAGCGCATTAAATGCGCTTCATAACTTTATTAAGTGTTTTCAACACACTTGCTCCATAAATGCATTTACGGAGGTTGTAAACATAGATCGAAAGTTCAAAATAACGAGCCATCCAACGGAGCGTGCGGTAAAACATATACCCGCACTCTCCCATACATGGCGCCGTGCGTATTCTTTATGGTTTTTCTTTTTAATTTCGGTCGAATCTCACAAATCTGAGCGGCGCTGCGGGTTAGAGTGAGAGAGGAGGAACATCTACATCAGAAAGTTAAACTAAAAGAGCAAATGGCGGGGATTGATGGGTGATAATAGAAAATTGGTGGATTTTTATAAGGCGTTGGTAGGTGATAGTGGGGATTGGTGGCTAATAGTAGGGATTGATGGGTTATAGTGGGGACTGATGGGTGATAATAACGGATAGGTGGGTGAAAGGGATTGGAGAATGTAAAGGGGATTCCAGAGTGAAAAGGATCCGAAGGTGAAAAGTGGATTCGAGGATGAAAAGGGGGATTGGAGGTTAAGAGATTCGAGGGTGATAAGGGATTGGTGGGTGATAATAAAGGATTGGTGGGTGATAGTGGGGATTGATGGGTAATTGGTGGTTCATAGTGGCTATTGGTAGGTGAAAAGAGGATTGGAGTGTGAAAAGGAGGATTGAGGGTGATAAGGGGATTGGTGGGTGATAGTGGGCATTGATGACTACTTGTTTGTAATAACCAACTTACCGCACATGTATTATAAATAACTATTATTAATTGATTAGGTACATAGAAAGAAACACAAATTAATAACAAAATAAAAACAAAGAGTGCAAAAAAATGTGACTAACATTGAATCTTTAAAACTTTTTGAAAATTGAAAAGTCCCATATTTTTTCACTTTTCCTTTGGTAAAATCGATAATGTTTAATCTAAACATGTTAATAGAAAAATTCCCGGTTATTTCCGGGGTGACCCCCATGACCTTAATAAGTAGGTAGTCAAACTAGTTTGTCCAACACGAAAAATTTTCCCAAATGATCAAACTGTTTTCCTCGTTGGTTAACAGGATTAAATCCGTGTATTAAAACTTAACATTAATGCCCAGTTTCCTTAATAGAATTCCAGTAAGAGAAAATTAAAATAGCAACAGTTGCTAGGAAACTAAACCAGAGCACCTTCGAAAATGCCAATTCCATATTACATAAGTAAACGTAATGGTTATTTTCTAGGCAACTTCGATAATTACCATATCATTTCTAATTCGTTGAAACTTCACCATTCATTATTAAATGACTATAGGGAACCGGCAGAGCCATCTATTAGAGGACGGTGGTACTAACCATAACACAGTCCTCTCGCCCACAGACAATGCCCGTAGACTGCCCCTACGGCTAAATAGAGGCGTAAGGCCGGCACGCTATTGCGATAATAAAAAATAGGATAGTTTGGTATCCGTTTCCAGGACGCCATACTTTGGCTTTATCAAGTACTCCTGCGCGTCCAATTTATATTTAATTAAGCAGACAATGGTGTCGATTCTGGCGTGATTCTCTAAACTTAAAACTAAATTTAACATCAGTCTCTCCTTTTCATTCTGTATAGAGAACGACGGGGATGCACTGTTGTCAAATTTAAGTTTAGCTTTAGAGAATCATGCCAGAATCGACATAATTGTTCTTAAGTTAAGAAACCTTTTATTTAATTGTATTTATGTGTTTGCATTCATTAAATTCAGTGTCATTGAACTGTTTGCCGTCTTATTTACTAAACTGGAGCCCAACGTGAATAAAATAAAATGGTGAATACACGGGCAAATGGTTATGAAACACAAATGGAAGGAAAGGATGCCGCACAGTTCGTAGGAGTATCAAATGCGATCCCGGCCGTGACACAAGAGTCACTCGTGCCGCCGGCATCGCCGTTTTCCATGCAAGATGTCGATGAACAAAATGGACAACCGCACCACGCGCCGGGGCGTTGGAGGCAGAAGAGCCCTGTTCATCGAGACATTCGACGGCATCGATAACCTTAACGAACGAGCAATTTGCTTATTTGTTACAATCAGTAAGCTGTGGTTCGAATGCGCTTGCCGGCAAGACAGGATTTTTTCGAAATGCACGGCGCGGTTCGACGGCATGACTGGAAGCGATGTAATGGCGTTTATTGAAACAATAAAAGTATACAAAGAATGTGTTAGTATTAGTATATTCTCACTAATACTAAATACAGCATTACCTACATGATGGCAAGGCGTGAAGGATTCAGTGGCTACTTGGGACAACGCGCTTATTTTACTACAAAATACATTTGGGCCATGATTGCCGCCGCATAAAATTTACAGATTGTTATTCAATAAAGATCAACAAGAAGAGACGACGGACGTGTTTGTTAGTAATGCGAAAGCATTATTGTCACAGTTGCCTTCGAACACACTCAATGTTGAAGTCCAACTCGACATGATTTATGGCCTGCTACATCGCCGTATCAGGGAAAAGATACCACGTGTTTCAATATCTTCGTTCACGGGACTGCTTGAACGTGCTCGTCTTGTAGAAGAGCTATACGACGAAGGGAAAACATCCGCCGCCTTTGTGAATAGTGATAGTGCGTCCTTATCGTGTCCGCCCGGCGCAATGGCGCTTCGAGGCGACGCGATGGCGTCATCACGGCGGGCGACCGGTGGGACGCCGCCGCTTCAACTGCAAAGGGTGTCAGCTCCACAGTCACGCAACAGCATGTTCGCACGCCTGCCTCAACAGGTCGCGCAGCCTGCAGTGGCTCAGAGAGGAGCTGCGCAGTCGTTAGTGCCGACCGCCGCAGGAACACAAGATGGGCCAGGTACGGTCCAAGCAGTGGATAAACAAGGTAAACTTTTCTGTGTTTATTGTAAACGACGTGGTCATTTAAAAGACAATTGTGAGAAATTACAGCTTGGGACTAAAGAGATGAAGCCGTTAAATTGCTATGGGTGTGGTGCAAATGGAGTTATACGTGCAAAGTGTAGGTACAGTATGCAACCCACCTGCTAGTTATAATGTATATACAGTAGAATCTAATAATAGTCAGTTCATTGATAGGGATGTTATTGTTACTAGTAGTGAAAATAACTCATTAAAATCTGAAAATTGTGCCAATGTAAATAATAACTTTGTAAATACTAAGAATTTGTGTAAAAATAGTAATATTATTTGTAAAAATGTACATAATAATGTTAATAGTCAGGGGGAGTCGTATAATAATGTGTTATCTACCTTTTTTCTTAATGGAATAGAAGATGGGGAATCAAACCTTGGACATGCAATTCAATCTAATAAACCTCGTAGACCAATACTAGAAATTGAAATATTGGGCATTAAGGGTACAGCATTAGTAGATACAGGAGCAGTAGGTTGTGTTGCAGGCCATACACTATATACACTCCTCCAGTCCAGGGGCCATCCTCTAACTCCCCCACAACGTAATATTAAGTTTGCTGATGGTCATGCACGCATTATGGATGTATACCTAGCTAACGTTGAGGTCCGGCTTAAGCATAAACTTTTAGATATAGAATTTTTAATTTTTCCTGAGTCAAATGATAATGTTTCTTTATTAGAAATTGATTTAATTGTGCAAGCTGGTTTGGTTTTTAATTTTAGTAAAAATTTGTGGTGGTTTAATAACAGTAAAAAGTGCTATAATTTATGTATGGAAAGTGTCAATTGTCTTGACAAACAGCATGGTGTGTGCGAACTAGATATATGCTAATAAGCAGAATGAACTATCTGTGCTTTTGGCTGAATTTCCTGATGTTTTTAAGAAAACTGGACCGCCTACCGAGTTTGCGGAGCACCGGATCGACACAGAGGACCATCTGCCAGTCGCAGTGCCGCCATACCAGGAAAGAAATAATGCTGAAGGAACTGGAGAAGATGCTGGCAGAAGACATCATTGAAGAGTGTGAAACATCGTGGTCTGCACCGGCCCTCTTGGTGCCAAAACGAGATGGTAAATTTCGTTTTTGTGTTGACTATCGTAAGCTGAACTCTATTACAAAAACGGATACTTATCCAATGCCGATCATAGATGAGATACTTCAAGCCACTAAGCGTGGTTGTGTAATGAGCACATTAGACTTACGGTCTGGGTTTTGGCAGGTACCAGTCCACGCAGACAGAGATAAAACTGCTTTTACCACACCTTTTGGGTATTATAGATTCAAACGTATGCCTTTTGGTTTAAAGAATAGTCCGGCAACCTTTCAGCGACTTATTGACCGTCTGCGGTCTGGCTCGGCTTTAAAGGATATCACTATTTTGGCATACTGTGATAAGATAGGCACTTACAAGACCTACGTCTAGTATTTAAGCGTCTTCAAGAATTTAAGCTCCGGGTAAATTTGGAAAAGTGTGTTTTTGCCCAAGAATCGGTAAAATACCTGGGACATGTTCTCTCTAGTACAGGTATAGCACCAGATGATGATAAAATATAAGCAATTATGGAAATGAAAAGGCCTACTTCCCTTAAACATTTGAGAACATTTTTGCAAACATGTGCATGGTTTAGAAAATTTATACCTGGTTTTTCTCAGATTGCAGAACCATTGACTAGACTTACAAGGAAAAATCAAGCATGGCACTGGAATGCTGATCAAGACGCTGCCTTTGTTGAGCTGAAGATGAAACTTAGCAGTGCACCAATCCTCATACAGGCGGATTACTCAAGGCCGTTCGTGTTGCGCACTGATGCCAGCAACTATGCTCTGGGGGCCGTTCTCTTGCAAGGAGATGACAAGGAAGAGAGGTCAATTGAGTATGCAAGCCGATTACTCAACTCTGCAGAGCGAAACTACTCAACAACGGAGCGTGAAGCCCTAGCAGTTGTATGGGCTGTAGAGAAATTTCACGGGCTACATAGAGGGCCACCCCGTCGTCGTGGGAACGGACCACCAACCTCTCAAGTGGCTTTTGTCATTGAAGTCTCCGTCAGGCCGTCTCGTCAGGTGGGCGTTGAAGTTGCAGGCATTCGACCTTCGTATTGAGTACACTCCAGGTAAAGCCAATGTTATTGCTGATACTCTTAGTCGACCAAACTGCGATGAAGAGACATATTCTTCGTGTGGTATCTGTTCTGTAGTTATTGATCTCCCAAACAGAAGTCCTTCCGAGCTGCGACAGAGCCAACTGGCTGATCCTGACGTCAAAAAGATAATCAATGAGTAGAAGATACAGAAGAAGTAGCCGTACATCGTTGGTCTGGCCGGGGTTACTTTATGCAGCAAGGAGTGTTGTATAGATACAATCCGGACTCTGACAGTGAAATACCACAACTGGTTGTGCCTATCGACCTTAGAAATGGGATCATTCAAGAGTGTCATGATTCTCCCATGGCTGGTCATTACGGAATTGATAGGACATATCACAGAATTGCACAGTTTTTATTTTCCAGGTATGGAACGAGCAATAATGGAATACATAAAACTTGCGCTTCATGTCAACGCTACAAGGCTACAAATAAAAAACAACAAGGATTGCTGCAGACACCAGTGTTGCATCAGCGGAACGAAGTTATTGCCATCGACCTGTTTGGACCTCTGCCACCGAGAGAAAAAGGTCATAAGTGGATACTTCTTGTTGAAGATACCGCTACGTGTTGGGTGGAATTGTATGCTTTACGTGACGCTACTGCAGAAGCTTGCGCACGCGTACTTATAGAAGAATATTTCCTCAGATTTGGTTTACCACGCCGTATTATTTCTGATAATGGAGTTCAATTTATTTCGGCGGTTATGCAACAAGTAACATTTGTATTGGATATCAAACAGGATCTGTTACCTTTATTTCACCCGGAAGGAAATCCAGCAGAAAGAAAGAACCGCGATTGGTAAGGTACAGCTATCGCAATTAGTGGGCTCTAACAACAATTCATGGCCTAATCATATTCCTCAAATAAGGTTTGCATTGAACACAGCAAGATGCCAGTCTACAGGAGTCACACCGGCTTACTTGACATTTGCGAGAGAGCTCCGTTCACCTCTGGAAGTTGAACATGACCCCAGAGCCATACTTGAAAAAGAAAATTTTGTACCACAAATAACGCCATATTTAAAGTCATTTTTAGGAAACCTGTCAACTGTTCGCGATAAAGTAGAGGCTCAACAGGATAGGAGGAAGGAGTATGCAGACCAATCACGCCGCGTTGGTACCACAATAGACGTCGGAGATGAAGTGCTCTTGAAGACTCATGTGCTGAGCAACGCATCAAAAGCCATATGTTCCAAGTTTGTGCCGCGTCGGGATGGACCATACGTTGTTACTAAGAAGGTCAGTCCAACTACATTTCAAATTGGACCTGTTGAAGAGCCTAATATTAACCTAGGAAAATATCACGTTAAGGAATTGACACCGTTCCATGGTGGCATTCTTATCGACAGATTCCAATAGTTCCTAAACGTAATCGTGGAAGACCTCAACGTTCAGCTCATTTAGGTAGAGTACTGCGTTCGGTTTCTACAAGCTCAAGTTGTATTGAGGGCCGGGAGGCTGGTAACTCTACATCTCAGGATGTGCCAATTGTAGATGAGGGTACAGATTTTCCTCGGGATGTGCCAGTCCATGAACGAGGACGTCTTCATGCACTGGAGGGGGAGTATATAGGAAATCGGCAGAGCCATCTATTAGAGGACGGTGGTACTAACCATAACACAGTCCTCTCGCCCACAGACAACGCCCGTAGACTGCCCCTACGGCTAAATAGAGGCGTAAGGCCGGCACGCTATTGCGATAATAATGATTAAAATAGGATAGTTTGGTATTCGTTTACAGGACGCCATACTTTGGCTTTATCAAGCACTCCTGCGCGTCCAATTTATATTTAATTAAGCAGATATTGTTCTTAAGTTAAGAAACCTTTTATTTAATTGTATTTATGTGTTTGCATTCATTAAATTCAGTGTGAACTGTTTGCCGTCTTATTTACTAAATGACTTTTTAGAGCTACGGCGATGAGATTTATGGTCAATGTAAATTGTAAATTACCAACCTCCGGTAATGGCGTGTTTTAATAACCAACCTCCAGTAAACGGTAAGGATCTGGTTCCGTTTCATAGCAACAGTTATTATTATTATCGAAATCAGAAAACAACATACAGTCGAACTGAGAACCTCCTCCTTTTTAAAGTCGGTCGAAAAAGTATCACACAGCCTCATAATCTCTTACTAGAATTTGATTATTGAAACTAGATGTTAATGTTTAACTAAGTTTGAATACACGGATTAAAACTCCTGTTCAGCCAACTAATTAAAAAGTTTGACCACAGAAAAATTATTCCTGTTGGACAATCTAGTTTGACTACACAACGAAGAAGCGAAAAATTCCACGCGGTCCATGCAGGATTCGGACATGCATCTTCCGTAATCCGAGCGGATGCAGTGCCCAGTTATGCTACCGAGACCTTAATGACCGTGTCAAGTTTTTTCTTGTATTTCTTGGACTGCAAGTCGGAAGATGCAGATTCGAATCCTGTCTGATGACCAAGAGATTTTTTTCTGGAAAAAAGAACTAAAAAATATAATATATAATTTGCTTATATTTTACCGATAACAGCATCCTTTGTAGCAGTGCTGGCATCTATACCTCTTTCCATAAGTTTCACAATAGTGTGAGCTAAACAATATTTCAATATTGATTCACCGTGTCCTGAAATATTTACAAAATAAATATATTTATTTATTTAAACTTCATTGCCAGACATATGCAAACGGCGGACTTAACGCCATAGGCATTCTCTACCAGTCAACCTGAACGAGTGTTAGAGACAAATGGTATGGCGATAGGACAAAATGCCATAAAATAAATCATTTAGAAAATAATAGCGATTAAAATATATTAATATTTTTATAGTAAATTTAATACACCGACATAAACTACACAAATAAAATACATATATGAATATATACATACATAAAATACAATAAATATAATATATAAATAGATACAATTTATAAATAATAACAAAAAAAGAAGAGATTGCATAGTCAGGTCAGGAAGTGTTCATGCTTTAGTTTTTTGAACTCCCTTAATTCATTCCTCTTTGGTGGTGGAAAACGAGCTTGGAGCTTTATCTGGATCTCAGCTCAGCTGACTGTGCTAGAGCTAAAGCTAAAGCCCATATTAAGTAAATATCAACCTGTTGTAGAAACTCCACCAATATTGTCATCAGCATAAGTTCCACTTCCTATCTGAGGTGTATCACCAATCCTTCCGACAGCTTTTCCACTCATGCCGCCAGTACTAGTAGCAACTGCTATATGGCCATTTGAATCCACTGCAACAGCTCCAACAGTACCAACACCACCCTAAGTTTAAAATGCTTATTAATAAAAATTATATTATCATCAGTAGCTACTACTAATTCTAAAAACAGGTACCCAACACTTTAAAATGAATAAAGTAGTTTTTACTATAGATAGCCCCGAGTATGTTAACATTTCGTGAGCAATAAATTGATTAGCTTTTAAAATTAATATGGCAATAATAAATTATTGTGAACACTAGTGGCTGGGGTTGCCATACTTTTTTGGTCCAAATAAAGGATACTAAAGGAAGAAAAAAAAACATTGTTTTATAATGAAGTACTATATATTACACTTTATTAGTATGCTTCTTGAAAAATATTTTTTGTTTGCTTCCAGTAACTTTTAATAAATAATTATTGCTGTTAATTAATCTATATTTAGGTTAAAATAAATAATTAATTTTTAATCAAGCTTACAGATGCTTTATTATCTTGCACTTTCTTTTGTTCATTTTGATTTATATAAAATATATGCTTGAGAAATCTAATTATATAAAATAAAGCATTTTCGCCTAATTTATTGTTGGCATGAAATATAGAGACAATAGGGAAGATGCATATATAATATTTATGAAAATTTTATGATTAAAATGTTAAAAAAATATAAAAGAAATGCCACTGCAACGTTTTTATTTTACATAATGTTGTTTTTTAACAATTATTACGAATTAAAAATACTTGAAACGGAACGTATATTAAAACACCAATCAGCGTTTAGTGACGTCACTCCTGTTATGACAACTTCTTTGAGGTTATGGTTGTTAAAGTTAATATTATGAGTTCGTTTTTTCTGCTCGTCGGTGTGTTGGTTAACGCACGTGTTCTGAATTTGGCCTCGTTTTAAACGTTCAATTTGTGTTTTGAGATTCTAAATTGTGTTGTCCCTTTTGTGTTGGTTGTGGTTAACTTAATCAGCGATTTGGTAAGTCTCTTAATATTAATTCTCGATGGATGTAGGCGAGGACGACCCTCCGGACAGGGGGGCCGACCTCCAAGACGACGCCATGATGGCGTCCTTACCTGTATTTTCACAAACTCAATTAACAAAGTCTGCTCAGAAAAGACCTTCTACATTGGATGATGACATTATAAAACCGAAAAAACTTACGTCTCCTTCTGAATCATCTCAAACCATGTTCGTCTTGCCGGAATATGATGACAACAATAAATGGAAATTCTCCAACGTGGACAAGGCGCCATTTTCAGTCCAGATTTCCAAAAATGAGGAGTTAAGCGTCCAAGGTAGTACTTTAAGCGCATTGAAACTTGCACAAATACTACATAAAAACCGTGTCCCGGGTATAGTTCAAGGCGGTATCAAGTCCGTTGGACGGAACAAAATCTCTGTCGAATTTAAAAATGCAGATGAAGCCAACTCTTTCCTAGACAACAATATCTTAGCAAATAATAAGTTATCTGCTAATATCCCTAGATATCAAGTATCCCGTATGGGTATTATCAGACATGTCCCTAAAGAATGGTCTATGGAAGAGCTGGTTTTGTCTTTAAAAACACCCAGTAATTGTGGCCCGGTTATTAAAGCGAGGCGCCTCTCAAGAAAACTTTTTATAGACAGCCAGAGTCAATGGGTCCCATCATCCACAGTAGTCCTGACTTTCACTGGTTAACTCTTACCTGAAAAGGTATACTGTTTTAATATGGCACTCCCTGTTGAAACATACCAACTCCCAACAATACAATGCCGCAACTGTTGCCGCTTTGGCCATGTAAGTAAAGCCTGTCGATCAAAACCCAGGTGCTTCAAATGTGCCCAAAATCATTTAGGTGATTCCTGCGTAGTCCCAGACATTGATGCCTCATGCTTTTTATGTCTCGGTAGGCATAAGGCTACAGACCCAAAATGCTCAGAGCACTCAAGACAGAAATCAATAAAAATTGTCATGTCTGAGGAAAACATCTCTTACTCTGAGGCCTCTAAACACTTCCGACCCGCTCGCATGCTGTTTTCAGACTCCGTTAAGTCAACTCTCCCCACACCTTCTCAGTTTAACTCGTCCACTACTGATGCTCCACATTGCTCACCAATGACCCCTAAAAGGTCTTATATCAAAACTGTCACCCTAAATCAGCGTACTAGGGCTCCATCAGGTCCTGGTTATGATGTAGAAGCCCACGAAAACTTAATAAAAACACCGGCATATTCCCTGCCAAATGGCAGCGCATTACAAGCTCCAAGAGAGCCTCCCTCACCAACCCCGAATGATAACCTCGCAGAACTTTTGACTTCAGCCTTGATCAATATTTTGGAAAAATTCTCGGATATCATCCCCCCATACGTTCTGACCCTGCTACACCAACTTATTGTCATGTTCCAAAACAAAAACAATGGATCCAGTTCTCCTACAGTGGAATGGTAGAAGCATCAGGAATAAAAAACAGGAACTTATATACCTTATCAACAAGTTCACTCCGGTTGCCCTTGCCCTCTCTGAGACATGGCTCAGACCAGAAAGAAGGTTTTCTATCTCGGGATTTGCGTGCCTCCGGGATGACAGGGACGATGGTCGGGCTGGTTGCGCCTTACTTATTAAAAATTCTGTAACATTTTCCCAAATTGATATTCCCACTCACAGTACTAACCTCCACATTGTTGCAGCCAGAGCCCTTAGTATGTCAATAATTTCAATTTATATACCTCACCCTAATTTGGAACTGCTTGTAGAGCTGAACAGCTTACTCTCTCGCATTCCTGGACCCCTTGTTATCCTGGGAGACTTTAACTGCAAACATGAATTGTGGGGATCCTCCTCTTGTGACCCTCTATCTACCTATCTAATAGAGGCATTTGATGACCTGAATGTCTGCGTTCTAAATGATGGTTCACCCACACGCAGAGTCGCTCCTGACCAGAACCCTAGTGCAGTTGATTTATCCCTTGCTTCCTCATCATTGGCCCCTCTAGCCTCTTGGAAGGTTCTCCCAAACACATATGGTAGTGACCACTTTCCAATTCTCACAACTCTTCATACCTCACCAATTCACCCTAAGGAATGCTCTCCCCTTTTAAAATACCGTACCAATAAAGCAGACTGGAATACTTACTCTTCCCTACTCGATAGTGAGATCAGATCTCTCGAGCCAGTCAACAATGACAACTTTTTGGCACAATATAATAAACTCATTGAGGCGATTCATAATGCAGCAAGTAGCGCGATTCCTTTAAAGAACTCTGCCATGAGGAAGCTTCCCTCCCCTCCATGGTGGGACTCAGATTGCACCCAAAGCACCCGCGAAAGAAAAGCCGCTGAGAATATTTATGCTAATAATTTGACCCTAGAAAACTACTTCCAGTATAAAAAAGCAGCAGCTAAGACCCGTAGACTCCTGTCAAAGAAGAAATCCCAAGGTTGGAGAGACTTTTGTGAATCACTTTCACCACGTACACCGCCATCTTTAGTATGGAAAAAAATTAAATCTTTCAAGAGGTCGTTGACTAATGATTATGGTACCCGGTCCAATGACACTGATCCCTGGCTGTCACACTTCACAGACAAATTAGCTCCCCCATATGTCCCACCAAAGGATTGTCTACCCACACCTACATCTTCAACTACTGTTCCCCCAGGGGATGCAATGAACGAGGAGTTTTCCTATGCAGAACTTGCCTGTGCACTGGATAATCTAAAGGATTCTTCTCCAGGCATAGATGGGCTCACATATTCTTTTGTTTCCAAGTCCTCCCATTTTACTAAATTATATTTCCTCAATTTAATTTTTTTTTTTTCTAACAGGTGTAGTACCAAGAGATTGGAAATCCCAAATTATTGTCCCAATTTTAAAATCTGGCAAGAACCCAAACGAAGCTCATTCATACAGACCAATCGCCCTCTCCTCAGTAATGGCTAAAATCATGGAACACATCATAAAGAATAGACTAGAATGGATACTAGAAAATAGAGGCCTTCTATCTACCACTCAGTTCGGCTTTAGAAGAGGTCTCGGTACAACCGACAGTCTCAGTATCCTAACAACTGACATCCGAGCCGCACTTTCTCGAAATGACCATGTAATAGGAGTATTCCTTGACGTTGAGTCTGCGTATGACAATGTTTGCCTCCCGATACTCAGGCAGAAATTGCTACAGCTGAGTGAGTATTCCCGAGAGAATAGTTAACCTTACTTGCAACCTCTTCATGGAACGCTCTATAATGATCCGCAACCAGGGCAACAACCAACCTCCCAGGTATGTATGGAAGGGCCTCCCTCAGGGCTCGGTCCTTAGTCCCCTCCTTTATAACTGTTATACCTATGACTTGGATAGAACAGTAAACTGTTTCTGCAACATCCTGCAATATGCAGATGACTTAGCTTTATATGCAAGCGCTACAACAGTTGTCGAAGCTTCCAATAGATTAAACACCGCCTTACACTATCTGAATGACTGGTTTAAAAATCACGGCCTCTCTATCTCAGCTAATAAATCCAATGCAATTTTATTCAGAAGGAAAAGAAACCCCCCCCAATTTAATCTCCTTTTAGAAGGCCAATCTATAAAATCCCAAGACTCTGTAAAATTTCTCGGCTTTGTTTTAGATGCAAAACTCTCAGGTGTCCCCCACCTCAACTATATATGTAAAAAGGTAGAATCAAGTATCAACATCATGCGCGCTCTCTCTGGAGTGCGCTGGGGCTTTCACCCTTATTCTCAAAAAATCCTATATAACGCCATCGTCCGTAGCCATTTCGACTATGGCTGCTTCCTTTTGGAACCATGCCAAAAACTTGCCTTATGTAAACTCGATAAATTACAATCCAGATGCCTACGAATTGTTACAGGCGCCAGAAAGTCATCCCCCATCAATGCACTGCAGGTGGAGTGTGCTGAGCCTCCTCTACACCTGCGTAGACAATACCTAAGTGACAGATACCTGTGCAATGTTTTCCAAATATCTACACATCCCCTATTAGAAAAACTTAGAATACTGAGTGAACTTGTCCGTAATTCTGCATACTGGAACCATAAGGTCCCTCCAGCATTAATAAAAAGCTTAAACAAGTTATCCAACTTACCCACTATACATCAAACAGGAAAAAATCCAATCTTCGAAATCAACTACAAATCACTTATTTACCAACCCAAAATCTTGCTCAACACTGGAATTGACAGAAACACCACAAATGCTAACGAAAAGTTCAATAACATTCTAACACAAAACTGGAATGAATGGCTTCATATTTTCACTGATGCTTCAAAATTATCTGATGACAGCAATGTTGGATCAGCTGTGTGGATCCCTAAATACAAAATTTTACTAAACTTCAAATGCCCCCCTCAAGCCTCAGTATACACTGGAGAAAACATTGCAATTCTTGAAGCAATACTGTACGCAGAATCCCACAAGTTAAATAAATGCATTATATTCACGGACTCGCTCAGCTGTTTGCAGGATATACAAAAACTACCATTCCACTCCAGATATAATTTTTACATTACCTTACAAACCAAAGACGCGCTGGCGAGGTGCGCATCCGCTGGCATTGAGCTGATTTTAGCCTGGATTCCGGGCCACAGGGGTATCATTGGTAATGAAACAGCTGACCTTTTCGCAAAAGAAGCAACTCAAAATGGAAGCCTGTCTTATTACAGATGCTACCCCCGTGATCTTCGTACATTGGCAAGACCTCAGATTTATAAATCATGGGACTTTCTTTGGCAACAGTCCAGACCTGTTAAGGGTATATATTACGGCAACTTACAACCTGATATTCCACGCAAACCCTGGTTTTTCCGCCAGCGCAACATGAATAAATTCATCACTTCTATAATAATCAGGCTACGCCTGGGACACGTAAATACACCAGTTTTCCTTGCTAAACTCCGTATTCGGGACAACTCCTTGTGTGAGTGTGGACTAGAGGACGGCACCGTGGAACACATATTCTTTAGATGTCTGAATATCCAGGTACATTTATATATGACCTATTACCTAAAAATATCCCAAGACCAGTAAATATTCCGTTCCTATTAACGCAGGTCAATTCACCCTTTAATAAAGTACTAGGAAAGTTTATAAAGGCTAACAACATTGTCTTATGATGTCCAAACTATTTATATACTTTGCCTTGTCACCTCTTACAATCCAACTCCAATGCTTTACTACAGTAATAAAGACACTAACATTTTGTATGCTTGGGTACATGTCCGCTTGTGATGTTATATGTGTTGTCCTATTCTAGAATCTCAACTCCACGCGATAGCTCCACGTAGTAACCGGGCTACCACACCGTACAAAGAAGAGTACCGATATAACAGTGCCTTTCTTAACCCTGACATTGGCAGAATCATCGTGCATAACGATGGAGCCATAATACCCAAAGTGGAAGTGGAAGTTAATATTATTTCATGGGAATATTTATTGCGTTTTTTTTACATTTAATAAAAATGGAAGTTGCGTTTATCAAAGCAGACTCCAGGAATTTACCAAGAGTTAGCGTTGACATGGTTATAACTTTGTCCAAAGTGCAGAGTTTTTAAGTGTAGAAATGAAAGGGACTAAATTACTACGGTATGTAAAAATCGTAGTTGTTAAACTTCGTATTTTATTCAGCGGCTTTTTTTCGGAATATTAGTGGTATTGTTATGATCACATAATGTTGATGGATAGTAGATTTTAAATTTTTCAAAAAAATATTTCGAAAGTCGAAAAAATATGCAAAAGTATGAAATTTTAAAGCCAGCAACGAACAATTACGACCAGTGACTGACAGGAGTGACGTCATCGCAACCATAGGTTCGTTTTCGCGCGAAAATTTAAATTGTCAATTTAAAACCGCATTTTTTCCGATAAATCACAATGTTTTTATTTTCTAATATATCTGTGGTTTATTCTACATGGAATTCTTTAAAATGAAAACAAAAATAAAAATATTGCATCTTCCCTATTACCCAAACTAATGTACAATCTCTTATCTATTAGACGAGTCCGTCTGTCCGTGGTGCTGTTTCAGCGGCCAAACCGTAAGAGATAGATAAAGAGAATATTTAAGTTATAAGTTAAGAATAGTCTGATAAGACTACAAACCGGATTTAAGTAACGTAGCACTTCCGGTTTTCGAGAAATCAGGTTTTGGTGAACATTTGGTTCACTGGTTTGCTTACTTTTATAATAAAGTACGAATGGTAACCCTAGTAGTGACACAGAATTGCCCAAAAATTTAATAATAGTTGGCTATAAAGGGATTATCAGGACTGCTACTATAAAGCTGACAATATGACATGACATGAGATATTACTTTGCCTTGGACTAGGCTTACTAGTATGTCACCAGCTCCATTATGAACAACTTTATTTGATGTCATTTTCTAAAAATTTGGAAACTTCATAAAAATACAACTCAACTTGAGTTATGTACTCTATGGTTTAAATTGTGAGATATTTGTTTTTGTTCTCTTCCTTATTCACACACAATGGTGTCAATTCTGACACGATTCTCTAAACCTAAACTTAAATTTGACAACAGTGTATCCTTGTCATTCTCTATACCGAATGAAAAGGAGAGATTGATGTTAAATTTAGTTTTAAGTTTAGAGAATCACGCCAGAATCGACACCAATGTTAACTGCCATAAAATCAAACAGCACAGTAATGAATATGGATCCAAGTATATGACATGACCAACTAACTTAAAATTAAATCAAACAGGAATCCATTTAAAATACACTTCTAGACACATCTATTGGCCCACCTTAGAGTTTAGGTTTCGATGGCCCCTACCAAAATATGATTGCTAGATTGAACAAAAACTGTTGATGCAGTTTTAAACCTGATACATTTTACCATCTTTTTCGATCGTATTGTTTTAAATTTGAATTCAGAATACCATACGACATGGAGCTACGCCTAACAAGTCGGATATGCGCCTTGTTAAAGGCAATTGATTTTTGAATAAAAACATGTTTTATCAAATAAAGGTTTAATTTAATAACGCGTGTTGCCTCCATGGGCATCTACCACAGCTCTCATACGATTAGGCATAGAGTTTATCAACCGCTCTATGAAATTATGAGGGATCATCTCCCATTCCTCTTCTCTGGCAGTTTTCAACTCCTGCATCGTCTGGGCAACTGGCTGACGAGCCCTAACACGTCTTTTTAGCTCGTCCCACATGTGCTCAATGGGGTTCATGTCTGAGCTTCTGGCTGGCCAGTCCATAACTGTGATGTTTTACATACCGAAGATATTCCCTGACGATGCCGGCCGCATGGGCTTTTGCATTATCATGCATAAAAAGGAAATTTGGGCCCACATAGTCCGCGTATGGTATCACGTGAGGTTCTAAGCACTCACGAATACAGCATTTAATGTTGGCAGCCGTGGTCCTGTAACAACCTCTAGTTGAGTTTTGCCGCTCGCGGATATACCGCCCCAGACAGTCCATGAGCCACCGCCATAAGCAACCCTCTCTTCAAAGCAGCATTGTGCGAAACGCTCTCCCTTACGTCGGTAGACCTTCCTTCCATCATTTCCATGTAACAAAATTTTAGACTCATCAGAAAAGAGTACACGGCTCCAATCTTGCTGTGTCCAATTTAAATGACTGCCTGCGAAATGAAGGCGCGCTGTTCGGTGGGCTCGCGTTAGTTTGGGCCCATTAGCTGGCTTGTGTGGTACCATATCGCGTTCTTTTAACCTTCTCCGAACAGTTCGAGCGCTCACAGATACTCCGTGGAAGTCGCGAATTTGTTTTTGTATCTCAATGGAGGTAAGGTGACGATTTCTCACGCTGGTCGTCACGATGAATCGATCCTGTCTTTCAGTTGTGACCCGAGATCGTGGCCTTCCTTGGCGACGAACAAAGCCGCCAGTCTCTAGGTACCTCCGATAAACATTTCGGACCGAATATCGACTTAAATTAAGTTGAGCACTCACGTTTCTTTGGCTGTGTCCGGCCTAAATAAGTGCCACAGCTTGGGCGGCGACTTCAGGTGAAGTATCCATAGATTATTGATAGAACCTCACCTTAATGTTAAGAATAAGTAATGTTTGTTGCAAAACCAAAGATATCAATCACTTTTTCAAGAATTAAATCCAAGTAAACCAATAAAACCAAGTTTTCTTAGTATTCGATTGTTTGATATCAACAAACAGGTTCCAAATAGTCTTTTGTTTCTTTAAATTCTGTGTTCGAAATACAAAAAAAAGAATGAAATTGTGAATGTGCCAGGTTCAAAACTGCATAAAAACTTTTTGCTCAACCTAATATAAAATTTTAGCTAGGACCAAACGAAACTGAAAATACAAGGTGGGCCAATAGATGTGTCCAGCAGTGTATAACATGTGCAATAACTAAGGCAAACCTCATCAATTGCACCAATTTCCGTTTTTCCAAATTCTCCATGTTTTAAAAAGCTCTTCAGGGCATTTCTAGCATTTTCACTTACTAGACTATCTGGTGGCACAGTTGGAAATCCCTGAAATTTTTTAAAAATATTTTATTAGGTTCATACTAGCTATTATAAAGATTACTGAAAAATGAATAATACCATTGATTGAAAAATTCAAAACTACAATGAATCATGTTGAAAAAAGTCTTTGACTGATCAGTTAGGGGGACATCTTAGATTGGAAAGTATTTTGCAGAATGGTCTCCAGACTGCAAAGACTTTTTCAACTTGTTTTGTTATTTTAGTTTTTAGCAGGGCAGTCAAATTTAAGATTTTTCTTAGTTATTAATTTTTATTTTCAGTTTTTAGTGACAAGTTATATTTTAAAATTTTGCAGCCAACAAAGAAGAATATTTGTTTTGCCTGTAACCTTAACTAAAACCGAACAACCACTTACTTTTTCTAAAGCAAATCTTTTTGCTCCTTCCCCACCTAACAAAGAATGGGGTGAATCTGTCAAAACTTTATGTGCAATACTTATAGGATTTGAAAAGTCTTTGAGAAGAGTAACTGCTCCGACATCTAGTTTTATGCCACTCATAATGCTTGCTTCCATTTCCACTTCCCCATCAAGATTAAGAACAGAACCATAACCTGAAGTTTAAGATAACTTTGACAAATCCTGCTAACAAAACCCCTTTTCATCTATTTCAAAACGTTATAATATGATCTTTTAACATAAAAAAATCGCACATTCAGCCCTGCCTGGCTCAAATATCCACACAAAGTAATAATGCCTTTGAATCTATGTATTAATTATGCTGCTTACCTAAGTGTGGAGGAAGAATGTTCAACTTCTATGGAGATAATTCCTGTCTTAATTTAGTGCTAAGTTAGGCAATGGTATTATAGAAAATCTAACATTATTATTAGTAAATACATTAAATAGTATTCCTACCAGCATTAAAATTTTCATCATTTTCCAATGCAACAACAGCAGCTTCTACTGCAGCCAATGCACTACCACCCTTAAGAAGTGTTTCATGTCCAATAATAACAGCAGCTTTTGTTCCAATTAATTTGCCTTGGACTCTGCTTTCTGGTATGTCACCAGCTCCACCATGAACAATTATAATGGGTGTCATTTTCTGAAATTTAGGAAACTTCATAAAAATACAACCCAACTTGAGCTCTGTACTGTATAGTTTTAATTGTTACATGTTTTTCTTTGTTCTCTTCCTTAATCACACACAATGTTAACTGCCATAAAATCAAACAGCACAATCATAAATATATATCTAAGTATGTGCAAATATCATTTTGATAAAAGATAAGTTAATTAAACAACACAACAGTAAGCACGGACCTAAAAAAAAGACGGACGTAACCTCGTCTAATCACGAGTGAAGCATGCAAATGGCCGCCCGTTTACCGTGTGTGCGTGATTTGAGGGTGGTCATATAAGTCATCGATTTCCCTATTTATTAAATGTCTCAAACTAAAATATTGTTAACACTATGTAGGTAATTATCCCGTTATTGTAATAAATAAATATTACAATAACGGGATATTTACCAAGTTTTTATTAGATGTGAGCTCCCGATATTTCAGCAATTTAAACGGGTGCACTTTAGAAACATAATGTTGGCCTATCAAACATCATTTTTATGACGACCGTTAGAAAAATGAAAACACTTGCTAGGTATAAAGTAATTCATTATTTACATAAAAATTAAGTATCTGGTTAATATTACACATTAATATACCTAAATCGCGCAGATTAATGCTTAAAATAAAAATATAATACACTAATATTATTATTTCTTCTTTTAAATGTAAGTGTTTTATTCATAGATGTAGTAGGTATTTAAAGACTGACAGACTGAGGAAAAGAGATATGTCGACATGGGGACAGGAACTTCAGAAAACTGTCAAACCCTTGCTTCTGAAGCATTCGTGTTCTTTATACACGGTATCAATTAGCATTTTAAATTACCTCTGGGATATTTACTGGTAAGTGCAGAGCAGAAATTTAATTAAAGGAGATTGCTCAGCTTCCATACATGTTTGGCCTGAACACCAAGAATCATGAAAAATTGTTTCCTAGATTCGAAATTATACATAAATTACTGTAGAAACGAATATTATTGACGGACACCCCTGAGAACTTCTATAAACCATATACACTGAACATATTAAAATAATAAAAAACAAATAAGTTATATAGTAAACTAGTGAAATCAAGCCAAGTACCGAAATTATGGATTAGATTCAGGTATATGCATGTACATTAACAGATAGTTGCCTGTTATTAAAGCTAATGCATAAGAGTAACTTTTAAAATCAGGTGTCATTTCCGGTTATAATAAAGTACTCTGTGACAGAAACTGTGTGATGAATGTGAATGAGCCACAGATTAGAGAGAATTTTTAGACTCTCGTTAACCAAAGAAAGCTAAGAGATTTAGGTTCTATAGCCATATATTCAGTAGCTTCATTATTTTTGTTATGTTTTTAAGATAACCATATTTTAGATTTTTAGTGTATATTACACCTTATAATTTTATTTATTTATTAATTTATAGTCAGGGACCGTAGGCCCATAGATAGATACCTTAAAGTCTAACATATATACAGAATATAATGTGTTTATGGAGGTGTTTGGCGAAAAATGTATGGCAATAGACTTTATGATGTCGCCTACCATCTATAATAATTGTCTGAGCACATTTGCATCTAGTGAAAATGATAATATAGTTGTGGATATTAATACCACAGTGTAAAAAAAAAAATATTATTTTATTTTATTTATTATTTTATCGATCTTTACAAAATAGATTTGTTTTTATGTTATATAAATAACTTCGATCAGTCTTTGGCTGAATGTTAGTAGTAACACCCATAGCCATTAAAAATGATTCGTATGTTTTCCAAACCGGTAAAATTAAAAATACTTTTAAAGTAAATATATTATACAAAGGTGTCCGTTGAAATCTAATGACTGTAAATTAAATTATAAATTACGCCAAAAATTACCGTGTATGTCAATATTTTTTGTGCATTTAGGCCAATTTGGGCAATCTCCTTTATTTATGTCTTTTATAATGTTATGATGCAGGCTTAAAGTCGCATGCTTAACATTCGATATACAAAAACAGAACACAGTAATACAGGCCAAATAGGTCCCTGCCTCAGCTTAATACTACAGCAACACCAGGGCTGCTGCAGCGCTGATAATTCTGGCAGGGTTGACGAGACATTTTTAATTTAATAATAAAACAGAAGATTAGAACCATACCAATCAGCATGACAAAAAAAAATATAACAACATAGACTGAATGCTTTTAGTATCTTAAGCCTTAAAACAAGAGAAATGAATTTATTAAAAAATTAAATAAAAATGAAGTAAGATTTATCTATGACAAACTAGAACTTACAAAAACCAAAACTAAAACCAAACAATAAGAAAACACAAAGAAATAATTAGTTACAATCAGTTTCTAAACACAAAAAAGTTTGCTACATATTTACATATACATAAACAACAAAGAATTCACAGCGAGGACATACCATTTTATAAAACATATAAAATATTCTATGAATAATATGGCTTCTATTCTTTTCCTTTTGGGATAAGGAACCCTAAAAAGTTACGAAATCTGACCTTACCGAGTCACAAATGCAAGAAATACAAAATTCCCTACTTTTAGGGAAAAATCCCCGTAAATAAAGTAGCAATACAGTTGTATTTTTGTTTACAATTTTCATCCCAGTAAATAAAATATAATATGGAATAAATATCAAGAATTGTCAATACTTACGCATGGTAGGTAATTCCTTGTGACTTTTTAAATTTATTCGTGTAGTTTTTACAGGATTTCACCACACAAGATGGCATTTTAAATTATTTTTATCAGAGCAATTGAATGTGTGACTGCCGCTGTCACGCGGGGTCAAATGGCAGCGTTTTGTCCGACCTGGTGCATTAGTGTGAGTGTAGTAGTGTACAACAAACGGTTTTGTCTGACCTTGCATGCTTCACATGATTTGCCTTTGATGTTACGTCCGTCTTTTTTTTAGGTCCGTGACAGTAAGTTCTTTTGTTTTTGAGTGTACCCTTTGCTGATAAGAAACGCTTTATTCACAGCTGAACCGTGGTAAACAAATGAAGTAAAATAGAAGATAAATAAACAAACAAACAAGAAATAAACGTTACGGACCTTTTATTTCTTCTGTGATGGCTAACGACTTCGGGATTTACCCAATGTCCCGTTTGTGTGCCCAAATTGACGCTTGATAAGGCTTGTCTATTGTTTTTAACTCTGATTGCTTAATTTCGCTGTGATAGAACTTTTTATTTCCACAAACATCGGCAAAAAAGTTTTGTTTGATAAAACTTTCTAACCTCTGAGCTGCGTTTCATTTCATTCCAAACTTACGATCCAGTCCCCCCAGGTGCAACAAATGGCAAAGATGTTATTACCTTCATACATTTTATGTACACGTTAGTGTAAAAAGTTAAAGCGTAGGTTTGGATCGCAGCAGGGCTACGTTAAATGCCTACGCTTAAAGTGCAATTTCTTACCCTGACGTTTTAACTTTGACATAAAATTAGGCATGCGTCCGATATATCAAAACGAATCCAAAATCCGATTTCAAACACAAATCGATACCGAACGATTTCTCAACAAGAAAATCCGATTTCAGAAATCTAACCGAACCAAAACCAAATATCACAAGTATCCAAATCTAAATCGGATTCGAAATTCGTGCTTTCGTTTTCGGAAGTCAGATTTCGTGCTCGGAACTCCGATTTCGATTTGCTGTTTACGGAAATCTATTGCTGTTCTCTGAGGCGGGATTATTTATCACTGAAAAGATATGTCTTCTAAAAACATCAAAAGTCGAGCAACTTACATTTTTGGACGCTAACCTGAAGTAATTAGGTTTGATTTTGTAAATGGTTTGAAAAATAATAAAAACAAACAGAATAACAAATAAAAATACTAAAAAATATGTAAAAAGAAATCATTGTATAAAAGCCGATTTTTAAATGCGCCGCAAAAGTTTTACTCTTAACCGTAAACATAACTTTTCTGCTAGTCCTAAGTCTAGATTTAAAGCATGAAGGAAAATCGCGAATATCTACGAGTATCCTTGCTTCCTACAATTATTTGTTTGTGATTGTCGTTAGCTAATAAAACCAAATCATAACACAAACTAGTGAATTGGCTAAGTTCAGCACATCTGAAATCGGATATCTAAAAACGGATTTTAAAATCGATTTTGAAATCTGAAATCCGATAAATATCCGTTTGCGTTCAAAACCAAAAACGCCCATGTCTACATAAAATGTATGAAGCTAATGTCAACTTTGACATTTATTGCAGCTAGAGCATTGGTTTTGAACGCAGCCTTGTTATCTGTGTTTAATACCGGCACTTTACATCGCTATTCTAGGTACAGTGGGAGTACTTAAAATAAAGACAGAAAGAGGTGGGGAATAACAGAGAAGTATTAAGATGAGGTAAGAAAATAATGAATAGAATTTATGAGATGTATTAAGCAGGTATGTAGATACTTAATGCTGTTATTTTACATGAGGTTTAATTTGATACGATAAATGTGAGTTTTCTTGAGAGATACAACACGACGAAGACTGGGCAAACTTACGGACTCCAGGCAAGCTAGGAAAGCCGTTCCTAAGATAAACTTGCAGCTATCACGTAAAGTAATCAGACTACCTAGACAAGCCTTAAAACAAATCATGGGTATACACTTCTGTAATATTGGTATTTCTGACAGCCCTCTGTGCAGAACCTGCCTGAAGGAGTAGGAGACGAGCGCCCAAGCTGGGATGGCAGGACTGATGCCAATCCCCACGTAAAATAAGCACTCGCTGTCGAGTTGCGGAAGCAGCCCGCCGTACTACTAAGGACTAAGTGATTGTTAGATGTAATAGCAAAATTTAAATATTTCATATTGAAGTGTATTTATTTGTGTATGGCTGTCCCGCCATGCTGTATCCAGCAAGTTTACGACAACGACGGTTAGTACATATAGGACTTTACATTTGAGGGCTATCGCGTATGAATCCGCCGCTAGAGGCGCTAGTGTAGCGTGAGGTCTCCGAAATGTCAAATGTTATTGCTTGTTGGTTGACTACGCGGGTTTATTTCTAATTAAAATAATGTTGTCAATAATTGGTAACAATTCGGCTTAATTATGGCAAATATGAGTTATGTGTCAATGAATGTCAGTTATTAAAAATTTGAGCTTAGAAAAATGATTATGTTCCCATTTT